GACTTTTTTTTGCTTTTTGAATTTTTTTTTTTTTTTTTTTTGGTTTTTTTTAGTTTTTTTTTTTTTTTTTTTTTTTTTTTTTGTAATGTTTTGCCGTACCGCTGTTCATTTTTTACATTTCGTTTTGCTTTTTATAAAATATTTTTAGTATGTATAATGTATATATGTATTGTATATATTTATATATATATATATATATATATATATATATATATATATGTATATATTTATATATATATATATATATATATATGTATATATTTATATATATATATATATATTTAATATATATATATTTGTTTTCAAAGGGGAGTAGGCACTACAGTGTTTTTTTTATTCATTTTCTTTTTCATTGAAATTTTTGCTTGTCTTATGGTTAACGTTTTTTGTTAAACCTTACCAAAAAAAAGTCGAATCCCTTATCATCTTAAAATAAGCTTAAAAGCCTTATTTGTTGCATGTCATTTAAGTAGTATGTATATTAACAACTCACTTTTATGTTCAGCCTAAACGTGTGTAAGTGTTCTCTCTAGCTTGTGTGTGTGTGTGTGTGTGTGGGTGTGATTTGAGCGAATGCCAAAAATGTCATAGAACTGCCAAGCTTTGGGTTATCAAATGTCCTGCTATATATACTTGTATATAATTATACATATGCTATATATGCATGCCTCCAGCTACATCTGTATCTGCATCCGCATCTGCATCTGCAACTGCATCTGTATGTGTAGCTTTAGTTGTTTTTGTGTACAATGTAACTCGGTTTAACGTATCGGAAAATTGTCATAGTATATATATATATTTGATGTATGCATGTATGTATATATATATATTGTTGGAAATGTACAGTTACTCATATGTAGGCAATCAAAAATTGGTTCTATGTTCTCATTTTTGTTTCTTCTTCTTCTGTTTTTTGTTAGTTAAAATGTATTCTTATATCCAGCATCGGCTAAATGGATACTAGACACATGCTAACTATTTCAGTATATGTAAGTATTTACATGTATTCCAATTCGGAGCATTACATATATATATGTATATATATTTGTATATGTGTGTATACATGTGTGTGTCAAATAGGCTTCAACATCAAGCCGAGCAATTTCTCAGCTTATTTCCATGTTTTGCAGTGTTGTAAAACGAAAACAAATTCCCTTAAGGTCCTGGTAGTCAAGTTGACACGTCTGTTATGTACAGTTATGTGTGTGTGTGTGTGTGTGTGGCTTATAGCGTGATCTAGTTCACTTGAAAGAGAACCATTTGGAACTAGTTCCAACAGCACTGAATGCAAACGAAAAAACACATTTTATATGCTATACGATTTCTGTTACAATATACTGTTAGTGTCTGTGTGTGTGTATGTATTGATTTATTTACAATTGTCTCGAATTATTAGCTTGGCACTCAAACATATTTAGTTATAGGGGGTGTTTTGTTTTATTTATATTCCATAGTACATATTGCTTGTTTTATACGCCGATGAAACCAATTTCTGTTTTATTGTATTTCACTGCATAGTTATTTCGATTTTTCATATGTTTATCTATTAATCGGTTATCGTTGATCGGTTTTTGGGGTTCTTTTAACTGCTCACATCCTGTTAACGGCTCTCTATTATCATTTATCGGCTGAGTTTCTACAAGTTTCGCTTATTCAAAAGTAACTAACGAACACAAAAAGGCATATTTTTATATTGTAAGAAAAGAAGTTATTTTGCACAAAGAAACAATTGTATATTTTAATGCTAGCTCATTATAATTAATTCTGCATTAACAATTATTTAAATAGAGAACAAAGGGTCAGAAGAATAATACAAAAAAAAAAAAAAAAAACAAACAGAAGCAAGTACGTATGTATATATAGATATAGGGGACAAACAAATCGTTTCATATTTATGTATATTTATCATCAATTGTCTATCGATATATATATCGATATATCAGCTTTATATCATGTACGCAATTGTGGCTATTATTTATCGGTCAAGGTTGCACGTTTCACATGTTTGTAAGTCTTAAATTATTTGTATTGTAGGTGATTATGTATGTGAATGTGTAGAAGAAGGCATTCTGTCAACAGGGTACATTTGTGTTGCTATTTTGTTTGGTTTTCCTTTTTTTTGTTTTGTTTTTCGTTTTAACTGTTCTAATACCCTTGCAAAACGATAAAGTCGTAATTCGACTTGGCACAGTTCCCCGCTAATCATTGCTGTCTTCTAAGCCAGAACTGGTAATCTTTTGAATCGGAACTGGCTCATTTCTTCTAAGATATAGGAACGAGTAGGTTTACTTTGCTTTTGAAACAATCTGCAGTGCAGCAAGGGTATTTCAAGTTCGGCGTACCGAAGTTCATGTTTTCGTTCGTTTGTTTTAACAAAATGTGCTACAGCTGTTTGCCGTCTGCGAATTCCGCAGCGAACTAGTTCCAGTAGTTGGCTTTGAAAGCTAGCTGGTGAACTGGTTTATTTGAACTATTTATATGTAATAATGTGTGATATTGGATCAATTGATATGCGCATTCGAATCTATACTCAATTCCCTGCAGTGAGTTGCGTTTCGGTTTATTGTCTTTAAAAATGTATCTATGGGCAGTTGAGCTATTGGAACTGGTTCGCGGAACCGCAACGAACCTCGCCAACTGCAGCACACTTTCAGGGAGATATTATTACAAAAAAAAAGATGTTTAATTATAATTACTTGGATTGTTTTAATTACACACTACGACTGTAAAGAAGGCATTTGGTTGGGATTGAATTAGATATTAAAGATAAGTATTATAACAGCATCTGTTAATCGGTAAGTACTACATTATAATTGGGTTTAGTTTGAACTATTTCTCTGTTTGCTTGCGTTCTTCCCGGTTCTGGTGGTCAATAATGATGAGACTTGCATTTAATTGTTTTCTTTTTTTTTTTTAAACGAAATTACGTATAATTAATAAGGTATTAAGAGTACTTAAGAGCTCACTTTTGGGTCATTTTTATAGTCTTCTGTTTAACATTTATGGTTGACGTTCGTATAAATCAGTTTATAATTCTTGTTGCGATTTGTTTGTGTAAATAAATTGGAGTTTCTTCTTCTTTAACTGTTGTTTATTTATTATTATTGTTTATAGTTTGTTGCAATTAATTATATAGTTGATTTGTTTTGCTTGCTTTTGCTTGCTGTTGTTGTTGTTCGTCACGTTGTTGTTGTTTTATTATAATAAAAAAAAATATGCATCAATTTAAAAAATAGTTAATCTTAATACGCATATGTATGTATTTTTATTAAAATTTGTTGTAAACAATTATTTTGTTTACAAGAGGTTCTCATCGATTTGTAACTGTAATTGTGAATATTGGTACTATTGTTTCTTGTTGTTGTAGTTGTTGTTGTTCTTGTTGTATATATGTATGTCTATGTAGATATATATATATATGCATATATAAATATTGTTTGTTGTTGTTCTTGTTGCTGTTTAGTTATATTGTATTGGAAGAATCTGTGTTTACCCTGAGCACTTTTCTGCTAGACAAAAAACTTTTTATTATTATTATTTTTATTATTATTATTATTTTTATATATACTTTCTTTGTTAAATTATTGGTTTATGTATGTGTACGCATAGTTGTTGCTGTTCAAAATCAAAAATAAAAATTTAATATAGTACGCAAAATGATGCCGAAAGTAGTTGAGCAAAAGCTTTGCTGCTTTTTGTTTAAACGTTTTTCCGAAACTTGTATTTTGGGTTTTTGATGAAGTTTTGAGTTTTGAGTTTTTTTTTTTTTTTTTTTTTTTTTGGAATTTGATTTTGGGTTTTGTTGTTTATCTTTTCAAAGTTTTCATTTTGTTTATAGTTTTGTTTTAGTTGAATTTTGGATTTGTGCTTATGCGTTTTTTGTTTTTCATTATACGAAAAATATTAATTGTTGTGTGCCAAAGCTTTCGTTTAAGATATTATCTATCCATAGATATTTGACAAAATGTGTTTGCTCTTTGTTTTTGTCTGTTTTTGCGGACTCGAAACAAAAGTTAAGTTCGTTTGTTACGTATTAAAAGTAGATTGATTGGATTAGTAATATGTTTGCGTGTTGGTATGTGTGTATTTATTTATATAAATTCGACTTGTATGCAAATCTAGCGTAAATGTTGCTGTACTGTGCCCGTTGGGCCGCTTACGTTACGTTACGTTACGTAATGTTACGTTTCTGTTTCGCTTACGTCGTGTACGTAGCTACGTTCAAAACTGTTTCTTATTCTGCTATTTATGTGTGTGTGAGAGAGAGTGTGTGTGTGTGTGGTTGGTTGTCTTAGAAGTCAGGTCAATCTCACTGAATTGAATTCTACTTGTTTTTGTTTTTTTTTTTTGCTGTACAAATGAATAATTAGCATGCTCAGCTTCGATTTGCCATATATATGCGATATAGTAGTACGTACTATTGCGTGTGACTGTGTGTGTGTGTGTTTATATGAATTTCTTATGTTTTTTTGTTTTTTGTTTTTGTTATATATAGATTCATATATAAATAACTTGCTTTGCTTACTTCTGGCTATTCGAAATATATTATTATTGTATGTATTGTATATGTATGTATATATGTATATATATATATGTATATATATATATATATATATTTATACATATATGTATATATATATATATTATTTAAATTCCTGTTTCCTTTAAAATGCATTTTTGCAGTACGCCTAATGATATTCCGCTGCTTCGGTTACCTCTCAATTTGCAGAGTGTGTGTGTGTGTGTGTTTGCTTTGGATTATAACTCTTAATTTCGTATTGCCTCTACTGCTAGTGCTGCTAGCTGATAACTAAGGGAACTGATGAGCACTCAAACCAAACTGAAGCTGACATACAACTTCTTCTCCCTTCTGACAAACTCAAGCTGGTTTGCGCACATACAAGCTAATCGTATATGTATGTATTCGCATGTATGTGTTCTTGCTTACTTTGCAAAAACATTTTTGCTTTTGTTATATATTCAATTTGCGTATAATTTTGTTGAGAATCACCGAGAAGGCTGCATCACGCGTGCACAGCTCTTGCGCTTTTCGTTTGCTCTTGCTCTTATCTTAGTAAACTTTTGTGTTTGAGAAGCGCGTAGAAGGCTTTGTAAGCAGCAGTCTGGTGTGCTTGGTGTTTTACTCAACTGTGCGCCTAAATATGCCAAACAATCGATGAAATTTCTTTGTATTTAAATATGTTTTGTTTTTGTTTCTGTTTTCGTTCTAAAGCGCTCTACATTTTGTTTTGTTTAGTTTTTGCCTAAAAAGTGATTTTCATAAAATTTTGACTAAAAATTTGTATTAGCGTGTACTACTTGAAGCAGTACGTTGTGGCTTCTCATTATCGATACATATTCAAAACCTGGCAACATACAACAAAAAACTTAATCATAAAAACAAGCAAATAAGAAAAAGAAAAAGAAAATGACAAAAGGGGGATCAACAATAATAATAACCGATGAAATGTTGTGCTCTGTACTGGCTGCCGCTTAGAATTGTAGCTGTGTGTGTGTATGTGTGTGTATGGTTGTGCGTGTGTGTGTGAGTGTTACGAGTTCTCGAGTTTTCTATTTGATAAATTTAAATTTGTAATTGTATATTTTGCTATGATTCTGTCGTCAAGGAACTTGTTGAAGTGTTTTCAAATGGCGTCTTGAAATTAAACAAGTTAACAAAACATTGAATATAAGGCCCACGGTGCGGGGTGGGCGCGCGCGCGGGGAACCAAAGTAAGGAACTTTTGATCACAACTTAAAGTCTAATAAAAAAAATATATTAAACTCAAATAAACTTAGCAGCTAAACTTATGGAAATAAGGAAATATTTAAGAAAATCAAGAAATCAATTGTACAATCTAAAATATATGTATGTATGCATGTATGTGTGTGTAGGTGTGTGTGTATGTGCGAGTGTGTGTGTGTATGCATGAATGATGTCGGAGAATGTAACACAATGAATGTAAATGATATGCGAAAAATGAACCAAGAAATAACCCAAAAACGTCATCGAAATTTGTTTTGCTTCAACAAAATTGTCATTTTTTGTTTGTAATTTTTAATTTGGTTTTTATTTTTTTGTGTTTCTTTTTTTGTTTAAATCATTTTTTTGCTTATTTTTTTGTTTTTTTTTGTGTTTTTTTTTGCGGTGTAGTCACAATAATTTTACCAGTTCTACGACTGCATTTTCTCATATACCTTACAAATTCATTGTGTGTTGTTGTTGTTGTTGTTGTTGTCGCTGTTGTTGTTTTTTATAGTTTATGTATTTACTAAGCGCAGAAAAACAGAAGTAGCATAAAAAACATACAAGTTTGAATAATATTGGTTTGGATACATTTAAAACAGAAATATGAAATAAACTTAAAGTTGTTGCCATGTTTTTTGTTTTTTTTTTTCGTTTTTGTTTTTGCTGTTTTTGCGCTAAAGCTAAATAAATTTCATATAAGTTGGTACAATAATCATAATAATAACATTTGCTTAAACATTAAATTAGAGATATGAAAAAAAAAAATCATATATTTATATATATTTATGTAATATTTTCAATAATTATAATAAATTGTTTGTTTCGTAGAGACACAGAGCATAAAACATGGTTGGTTTGTCAGTGCAGTCAAAAAAATAATAATAATAAAAATAATGTGTTAAAAAATAAAATGTTATTTAATTTATAATTAAAAAAAAAAAAAAAAAAAAAACAAACAAATTAGACATTTTCAATTTTTGTGGTCGCAATGTTTGTGGCTGGCAGCAAAACCTTTCAGAATTCTTCTACTTTTTAGTTTGATTGGAATGTTTCACTCTCACTTTCGACGCGGCTGTCGCCTGTGCGCATTCTGGCGGCCCCTTAAATTTAGTACAAAAAAAAGAAGGAATTTCTATTTAATATATTTATAATATATTTAACCTTCGCCCAGCCAATCAAAAAAGTACCTTTAAAAAACGCTGCAAAAGCGAATTTTTTTTTTAAGTTTTTTGCTTTTTTCTTATTTAGCTTTGCTTTTAATTGTTGCTTGTTTGTTGTTTGGTTTTTTGGTTACGTTTAAATATTAATTAATTATTAAGTAATTGTTGTTTATAATTTTGTTTCTAAAAGGCCGAAAATCACAATTTTGGTTTTGTTTTGTTCCTAAACGTTAAATTTTGTTTGCTCTCCTTTTTTTTTGTTTTTGTTATTATATTATTAATAATATTGTTATTAGTATTATTATATATTAATGTTCATGTTTAAATTGTTTTTTATGTATTTATTGTTTTTTTTTTGGGCAAAACTTGTTTCTGTTTTGTTTTTGCACAAATTCTGCACATCACAATATCGAATTGATGCCTGTTGGGTTTCCATTTTGTTTATTTTTTTTTTTTATTATTTGTTTTCTTACATTTTCTTTTATTTTCCCCCTGTTCCCCCCTTCACGTGTCTTGTTTTTCTCTAATACTGCGCTCCCTGCGAGAAAATAAGCCAACAACAAAATCATTATGGCGCCATCTTTTGTTTGTCTTTAGCGTTTTTCAAATGCAAAGCGAATATTTATTTGTTGAGTTTCATTTTTTCTTCTTTTCTCAATGTTTTCAATACGTCTTGACGTATTTGTTTTTTTTTTTTTTATGCTATCACAGCCAAATTGTTTAATCCAAAGTTTTTGTTTCCGTTTCTCTACGTTTTTTGTTTTTCGTTTTTTTTTTTTTGTTGGTATTTTTCTTCTTTTTTTTTTTTTGGTTTGCCGAAAAAGTCTTGTTTTGCGTTTTTTTTGTTTGTTTTAAAATTTAGAATTTTGAATTTTGCCTAGCGTGCGTGTCTTGCGTTATTATTAATTGATTTCAATTTGTTAATGCGCGCATTTTGTTGTTGCCTTTTGTTTTTTTTTTCCTGCTGTCACCGCCAACAAAGATCGATAACTGCATCGATTCCAAAATGCGCACGGCCGCCCAGAAATTAACCGCTTTATATACGTACATATATATATATATATATATATATAGATATATATAGATATATATAGATATATATGTATATGTGTATGTGCATAGTCTGGCCAGAGTTTGCACCCAATACGCTTGGTGTACACGTTTACTTTTATAGTATAATTTATTTTTGTTATAATTTTGAGATCGATTTGTATTGGTATTTGTATTTGTTTCTGTTTATGTTCTTGCTTTCGCTGTACACTCGCGCTGGGCTCTATATAACATCTGGTTGAAATGTTCAGAAAGGTAATGCGATTCGCTTGGGAATTGCCAGTTGTTGTTGCTCTTGTTGTTGCACAGCGATATTGCGACCACGTTGCCCAAACGGCATTATATTCGTATTCATAGAAATTTATATATACATATGTATATATATATATATATATATATATATATATATATATATATATATATGCATTTATGTATGTAAACATAATAACACAAAATTTTGCTTAAGAACTATTAAATTTTTCATTTTAGCAAATGTTTAGCCAAAGTTTTTAAATTGCAAAATTTACAGAAAAATAAAAAAAAACTCTTTGTCTATTGTTTTATAATGTGTTTATGTTGTTGCTGTTGTTGTTCCTTTGTTTGTTTGGTCAAAGCAAAGTAAACTGAGCGAAAAAGCTGCAAACATTTGTCGACACTTTCGATTCATGTGTCCCCAAAAAGTAGGCAACAAAATTGTGCATACATTGCGAACGTAGCTACGTTGGGTTGGCGTGTGTGTGTGTCTGTGTGTGTAGGTGTGTGTGTAAAGCTTGTATGTCTGCTAAAAGAAAAGCCTAGCAAAGTCTTCAACATTTTAAAAGGTCGCTTAACAAATGCTGGAAAGTAAATAGAACAAAGTTCAAGACAAAGAATTTCGATTCATATTGATTAATACAAGATACTATCAATGGGCCCTATCATATCGCTGCTATAGCTTGAGCATTTGATTAGTTGTCAATTGACAAAAGCAGATACTATTTCTGATATCTGGAGATATCTTGCACCATGTTTTAGCTGTCGGTGTTTCAAGTGTTTCGCTGAATTTTGCCAGTCAAACAAATATGATATTATTCATTTATAGAACTTTCTGGCCAGTTACAGAAAACCAATTTTCCCTTTTTTTCACTTATCAACTTTTCAAAGCCATATTCTACAGCACAGACCGGCGAATTGTGTTTCCAGCTATAAATCAATTGCTATGAAAAACGAGCAGGGGGGAGGGGGCGGGAGATCAATAATTGCATATGTGTGTGTATATATAACAATATGCATTCAATTAAAACTGAGAATTTGGAATTGAACCAATGTTGAAATCGAAATATTATGCCCAGGCGCTACGATGCGTGCTACTATTTTTGGGTTTTTTTCTTCAATAGATTTTCGATTAGTTTAATATTAATAAAGACATATGTATGTACAATATGTGTGTGTGTATATATATTATATATATATATATATAAGTATGTATTTAAGATCACAGATATTCTATGTAATTCTGCTGCTTTGCATAATTCACGCGTATGTCTGTATTCCATGATTTTAATTTCAAATATTCCTCTTCCGAGTGTGCCTTACATTTGATGTATTCATTTTTTTACTGCTGCAAGTAGTATCCAAGGATTTTTAGTATCCATATACGTTTATGTAAATATTGTATATAGGTATATGGTATGTATACATATGTATACATATCTATATATATATATATATATATGCACTGTATATTGGGTTGTGGGTGTATATGTGGCTAAAAATTAATTACGTTTGTCTTATATACAAGCACATACACGAGCATCTGCATGTGTCTGTGTGTGTGTGTGCGCGTGTGTGTTTGTGTGTGTGTGAGTAAATTTCGATATTTAGTTCAATATTTATGCAGGTTGGTAATTGTCAAGCACGTGGCACCACCTGTTGTTGAAGAGGATAGAAACAATTTCTATATACGAAATTGTTTGACAATTCTTGGCATTGGGCTTAGACAATGCTGAGAGCCATTAAAAAGTTGTGTGAGTGTGTGTGTGTGTGTGTGTGTGTGTGTGTGTGTAGGTGTGTAGATATGTATGTGGTATACGTTCAAGTTGCTTTTACGTCTAATTCAAGCCTGGGAAATCCTGTATGAATAAATACGCACAAAAGTATGCTGCAAATTTTTGTTAACAGTTCACTTTGCTTTGCTCTGCTCTGCTTTGCTAATATGTATAGGTATGTAGATCTTTAACTTGTTAAACTAATTTTACTTGTTATTATTATCAACTCGCTAATATCGCCATTATCAACTCCATCATCATCATCATCATCATCATCATTATGTTGATCATGATACTCAACATCATCATCATTACTTAAAAAGTTACATCACGTGTTCACTGTTCTTTTTCTATATCAATTACTATCGTACGCATATATATCATTATAATTTAGTATAATTTTTTACTTTTGTTTTTTTTTCATTTTTTTTTTGTTGTTTACTTTCTTTTATGTATATATGTCTTACGTTCTCTTATAGATGTATATATATATACTTTTGAAAATACAAATATATATATATATATATATTTGCGCACATATATATATACATATATGTATATTATGTTTATCAATTTTAATTAGATTCCTGCTACAACATGCACGCTGCACTTGTTCTTTACTAAAATATTGTATAGAAAAAAAATATGATCAACGCTTAAACTTTTTCTTGGGTTTTTTCTCTTTCGCACTAAATTACTATTACGACATATTTTTCTTTTTCATTATGCTTTTCTTCACTTTTTTTTTTCTCTTTAATATTCAGTTTGTTAATGGAGACATAAAATAAGTTTGTGTGTGTGTGTGTGCTGGTGTGTTGTTGTGTGTGTTGGTGTGATTTTGCATAAAAAAAATATTATCGCTCTTGGTATAAATTTCAACAATTCGACATATGCTGCTATATATCGTATGTATATATATATATATATATATGTATATATATATGTATATATGTACATATATACATTTATTATTAATGCATATGTATTATGCATGCTTGCGATCTCTTTATCTATCTCCCTCTT